TCTAAAGTCCCGCGTGGCGTTGAGCCAATAAGAGCTGACGCCGGCCCGGAGGGCGGTGACACACCGTGCAGTCCCCGCCTCTTTCCTCCCTTTGCTCAGACCCGACGGCGCGGACCCAGCCAGGCTGCTGCAGCACTTTATTTAACTTTGTCTCATCTGCCTTCCTTTTCCCGGAACCCACTTTCCTAACCCACCCCTGGGAGGGGGAGAGAATGTGGGAGCACTTCAGAGAGAGGCCTAGGCTCCGGAGATCGGACCATCTGGGTTCTGAAAGTAAATCAGTTTTCCAACTCATGTCTGGTTCCAGCATTATCCAGATGCCTGGAAGGTCCTTCCTGCCGTCTGATCACCGTTTTTCCTGCTCCACTGACCGATCGTCATCCCTTGGTTTTCAACCTCGGGAATAGTGTGGGAGTCTAGAAATGGACGAAGCCCTAGGTGAGGGTTTGAATCCTCTTTTCCCAAGACTCAGGCTGGGATGGAGCCTGAGTCTGGGCCCATTCTTGGCTTTATCTAAACTCCAGATTACCAAGCCTGGGGCTGAGCTCCAAGAAGGCTGAGAAGGGCCAGATCCTAGGCAGAGCCTTAGGGCGCAGCTATCATCACCTTCCCCTCTGGGATGTTTGGGACCGAACCTCCGTATTAACCCTGAATTTCCGTATTAACCCCTCAGAAGAGCAGCTGAAGACAGGCAGAGGACCCTTCTCGGCTTCAGAATCCCTCCCCACCTTGGAGGTAGGACCTCCTGACACCTGAGTTTGTGCCCGCCTTCCCCACACTCCACAGCGATCCTCAGTGTCCCACTCCGTGCAGTGGACGCACGCCTCCTGCGCCTGCGCAGCCTCGAGACCAGTATCTTCTAAGGCTGCAAGGAGCTAAAAATCGCTCCCGCCCACCCACAAGCTGGGCTGGACTTGAGGATCGCGGTGGGGGGGGGTGGATATTGTAGTGGAGGAGGTGGAATGAAGAGTGAGAAAGCTGTCTAGGTGCCTGTCCAATTAGGGCAGTAGGAAGAATCCTGATGGCCAGGCAGGTGCGTGGGGGACGCAGGGCGTCCTGTGTCTCCGGAGGGGGCTCCTGGGGTGGTGAGGGGCGAGGCTGCCGCACAAACATGTTTATACCTGCAGCGGCGCCGGTGTCCCCGGAGGGCGCGAGCCCTAGGGCAATAACTTTGCTCTGCGCCCCCCTCACCCCCAGCCTGGCGAGGCGCCAGGGCGTGACTTCGGCCGCAGCCCCCTCCCGCTAGGGCGAGCCAGGCGCCCCTCAGGCGATCCTCGAGGTGGAGCGCTAGGCTGCACCCACTCCCGCAGCTCCCTGGATCGCCGGGCGGCGCCTGAGGGGCGGGGTCCCCAGCGCGGCAGGACGCGCCGCCACAGCATTCCCCGCGGTTAGCGTCCCGAGCCCATGGGAGGGGGCGCCCGGCCGACCCTGGTGCAAGTTCTCCCGCCTCCTGCCCGGCTCCGCCCCAGGGCGCCGACCTCTTGCTCTCCACCCGGGGCCCTGGCAGCGGCGTACCTGCAGCCTCCGGCGGCGGATGAGGCCCGAATCGTCCATGGCGGCAGCGGCGGCGACTTCGGCCGGGGGAGGGAGGAGGGAGGCGGCGGCGGCGGCGGCGGGAGGAGGGAGGAGGGAGGGAGTGAGAAGCCGTGGGGACCGCGGCGGCGGCGGCTTGGGGGGATGGCGGGGGCGGAGCGAAGTGGGGCGGGCCCGGCGCCGTCACTGCGTCTGGGAGCCGGAGACAGGGCTCAGCCACCACTGCCCGCTCTGGGGGGGAACGGGCGGGCGGGGGGGCGGAGCCTCCTGATGCCCCCATGGGAGCCAAGCTGCCGAGAGACCCCTATAAACAGAGATAATCCAGGGGAGAGACATTCTCAAGGGTAGAACCCCCACTCAAGAAACACCCCAAAGGAAGCCTTCTCCCTGAGATACAATCCCTTTACATTCGTTCCCCGGGAGACCCCGTTGGTGAGACACATTCCCAAGGGGAGATAGTTTCCACAGGGACGCCCTCTCCAATCAAGAACTCCCCCAACCCTGAAAATCATTTCTAAGAGATATGGTCCCTGGGAGGTGACATTCCTCTCAAAAGCCACCCCCCCCTGCCCACAGAAGAGGCATTCCCCGAAGATAAAGATCCCAAGAGTGACAATTCCCGTGGAGACCCTGGGGAGGATACCCCCAATCAGAGACCCCTAAAAGCCATATCCTCTGTGGGAAATTGTCCCCACCCATGAGACCTCCACAGCTCCAGGAGAGATGTCATTCATACAGAGTGACATTTTCACTGAGGAGACCCGTCCTCATGGGAGCTGCAACCTCAGTAAAACATGTGCATGCATATTATGCCCCCCACCCCCCGCAATCAGAGTCACCTTAGGGAACCCTGAAGCCCCTCTAGAGACCCCTCCCTCACGGTCAGGATTAAGGAGCCAGGCCAGGCCGTCTGTATTTATAGGAACGATTAGCTGGTAGTTGAAGAGGGGGGCAGTAAGGGATTTTCACCTCCCTGGACGCTCCTCCCTGTTCACACAGATGAGGCCAAACCCACCATGCTTCCCGAAGCTGGAGTGTCCGAGCCCTCAGCAATCCAAGCCCTGGCATTGGGGGACAGAAGGGCTTTCCAAGGGGTGGTGGCCGGTATCCGGCCCCAAGGTCCTGGAGGGCGCGGTCGCTGGGTAAGAGCGACCCCTGCTGGAAGACGGGGGTGACGGCGAACCTGGGTCCGGGTTTTTCCCCAGGAGCTTGTCGCCCTAAGTCCGCTCCTTTGCCTGGGTTATCTCTGTCTCACTATATGTTTGTCCGCACGTTTGTGTCGCCGTCACACTGAGTCCCTTGCTCCCACATCTCTCCGTCCATGGCCGGGACTCCGCCCCTGGCGACCTCTGTCACGAAGGCGACTGCGGGAGCTCTCCTTGGTGCTGGTCTCGCACGCTCCTGTCCGCGGTGCTGAAATCCAAGCGCAGGGTCGGGGCTGAGATTAGGGAAGGAGAGACGGTACGGAGGCTCTGGCGTGAGGCATGGCCCAGAGGCTGAACAGATCTGACCCACAAGCATCCTGGACCACCTCAAGATGGACCAGGGGAAGGCTAGATCCAGCAGGTCTTGTTTACGGAGGCCTCCAGCACATCACTGGGTGCACACAGAGGGACCCAGAGACAGTGTTTACTTCCTCACCACTTATTGAGCACCTACTGTGTGCAACGTAGTGTTTTGGGATCTAGGAGGGAGTACAGCAATAAAAGAGACAGACAAAAAGCCTCTCTTGCCCTGAGATGAGAAGCACACGAACACTTACATACAATCACATGCTCTGCAAACACACACACATATATTCAAACATACATACTCCACAAATACAGATCCACACATACTGCAGATGTGTAATCCACAAATTAACACATGTACAAACACATACTCAGCAAATGCAGATACATACAAACATCCATAAATACAGATACACACAAACTCACACTCTGCAGCCATACAACACATACATAAAAAACACAGACATATACACACTCATCAAATGCAAACACACACAAATAACACATAAACATACAATAAATGTAAGCACAATCACATAGTTCCAAAACCAAGGGATGTCCAATTGCACACAAATTCTCATCTAAAACACAAATGATTCTCGTAATACAACACATAGATACACACCCCCATGCCCACTGCAAACATGTTTTTCTCATCTGATTCTCCCCCTAGAATGTCAGCACTATGAAGGTTGAGATTTTTATCTCCTTTATTTTTATTTTTTCAAGACAGAGTCTCATTCTGTCGCCCAGGCTGCAGTGCAGTGGAATAATCTTGGCTCATGGCAACCTCTGCTTCCTAGGCTCAAACTATTTTCATGCCTCAGCCTCCCGAACAGCTGAGATTACAAGAATGTGTCACCATGCCCAGCTAATTTTTTAAATATTATTTTTAGTAGACATGGGGTTTCACGATGTTGGCCAGGCTGGTCTCAAACTCCTGGGCTCAAATGATCCTCCTATTTCAGCTTCCAAAGTGCTGAGATTACGGGTGTGAACCACCATGCCTGGCTGAAATTTTCATGTCTTGTTCACTACTGCATGCCCAGAATCTAGCACACAGTAGCTCAATAAATGTTTGTTGAATGAATGGATGAGTTAAGGGAGGGTTGACAAGCAACACACATTTACAGAAACTTGAGAAGGACATAAAAGTGTGTACATGCTTCTACGAGCTGGTGGACTAAAAGAGAAAAAATAAAAAAATAATAATAATAAATAAGTAAAAAAAAAAGCGTGTACATGCAAACACACCTTGTTCAGCACGTGACATTTCCTTGTTCACTCATGGTCAACATTCACAGTCAATAACCTTTATCTTTGAATTCCAGGATACAAAAAAAAAAAGGAAAAATATCTTTATCCACTGACTTCCAACATTTTTGCAGGGACACCAACCCGATCCTACATTCCCCCTTTCCACATTTATTAAGATTATGTTTTATTTAACTGCACACACATGGCTTGGGACACACAATCCTCACCCAGATTTCGAATGTACACATATATATACACACACACACAACCAATCCACCAAGAAACACACATAAACATAATTTCACACAACAAACACACACATACATGCTCAACACACACATAGCCATACAAAGACACAGATTCCCTGAACACACGCAGGTTGTAGGCCACACAAATACACCTTCCACACACACACACAAACTTCCACACACACGCAAACACACTCCCCACATATATAGATACAGAGCTTAAGCCACAAACTCAACATAAAAGCAAACACAAAGATATACAAATATACACATCAGCCCCAAGTCGGCCGGCCTTTGGTCAGCTGGAGTGTGGGCGGGATGGTGGGAAGTCCCGCCCCTGTATCAAACCACGCCCCTTTCAGCTGCCCGTTTCCTGGACTGGATCCTGAGGTGTCTTAGCAGCCTCTAGACCCCAATCCAACTAACAGGTGAGGGGCTGGAATCCGGGAGGCAGGAAGGGGATAGTCTTGTCTCCACAGACCCCCAGCTGTTCCTGCCCTGGGACTTTGGGCTCCAGTGACAGAACCTGAGCCCTGCCACACCACGCCTGGTCCCAAAGGCCCAGCTCTTGGTGCCCCCTAAGCCGATTGTGGGCTGAGAGAAGGTGACCCAGAGAGGAGCCAGCAGGGATCAAGAAGGAGGAGGGAGGCTGTGTAGAGAGGGAGGAATTACTGAACAGGAGAAGGGGATTGGAAGAGCTAGGGAGATCCCCTTCCTTCTGAGAAAAGAGGGGGTCCCTTGAGGACTAAAAAGGTGGGCGATCCTGCTGGATGGGGGGAGGGCCACTGTGGTCTAAGCTTGGTGAGGGTGGCACTAAAGGGACAGAGAGGACATAGGTCTGATGGGAGGGGGTCTCCTAGGTTGGAGGCAGGCTCTGGTAGTCTCCTGGGATTTGAATGTCCTTGGCCACTGCCCAGCCTTCTCCTCAGCTGCACTTTCCCTACTTTGCCTGGCACTGCTTCTTGGTATGCATGGGGTGGGTGCCACCCTGAGCTCACAGAAAGGGATGGCTGAACCCCACCCTATGCCTGCTAGCTTTTATCTCAGGTGGACATGGCCTGCAGGGTCCACATACGACCCATCAGCCTGGCCTGGGTCCTGCAACTGACCCTGGCATGGATCCTGCTGGAAGCCTGTGGAGGGAGCCGCCCACTCCAAGCCAGGTCCCAGCGACACCATGGGCTGGCAGCTGATCTGGGCAAAGGCAAGCTGCACCTGGCAGGTGAGCACCCCGGACCCTGCCTCATCACCAACACCCAGAAACCCACACCTACCCTCCCATGGCAATGTTAGAATTTCCTTATGAGAGGATCCTAGCATGGCCACCAGGGTGGGAAGCATAGATAGTACTGAAGAATGATGGTTAAGAGACTGCCTGGGTTTAAATCCCAGCTCTGCCACTTTGTAGCTGTGTGACTCTAAGGAAGTCATTTAACCTCTGAGTCTCACCTTGGCCCTCCAAAAAGAGAAATAGCAAACATACCTCGAAGAGCTATTGTACAGCAGGGCGCGGTGGCCCACGCCTGTAATCCCAGCAGTTTGGGACACTGAGGTGAGCAGATCACTTGAGGTCAGGAGTTTGAGACCAGCCTGGCCAACATGGTGAAATCCTGTCTCTACAAACAATACAAAACTTAAACGGGCGAGGTGGTGTGCCCCTGAAATCCCAGCTACTTGGGAGGCTGAGGCACGAGAATTGCTTGAACCCGGGAGGCAGAGGTTGCAGTGAGCTGAGATGGAGCCACTGCACTCCAGCCTGGGTGACAGAGTGAGACCCTGTCTCAAAACAAAAAAAAAAAAAGGAAAAATATTAAGCATATGTGTCACTACCAGTCACATGACAAATACTAAGCTGATTATTATAAATGAGAAATGATTATTACTACTTGAAGCTGCATTTGCATTCCAAAGGAAGGGTCTTAAGTTATGGGTTTGTGAGGATTGATGTGTGATTGGGGTCTCCCTTGTCCGGGGGATCCCCAGGCCTCAGTTCACAAACCTTACCTGAGGATCCAAGACTCTGGCTCACAGGGGTCCCCTTTGCCAGGACCTTGTTGTCCCTCAGAGATGGACACAACAGAGACATCGGGCCCTGGGAATTATCCAGAACGCTGCGGAGTGCCGAGCCCTGAGTGAGTACAGCACCCCCCAGCGTTTCCTCCTGTACTTTGCCCCACTTTCCCCGGAACTCCCCTCAGGTCCTGACGCATCGGACCCTATCTCTCCCAATGTCCAGGTGCGAATCCTTCCTGGAACACCTCCAACGTGCCCTGCGCAGTCGCTTCCACCTCCGGCTATTGGGGGTACGCCAGGCCCAGCCGCTCTGCGAGGAGCTCTGCCAGGCCTGGTAGGAGATGCTTGGGCAAGGGGCGTGGCTTGTGACTTGCGCGGGGGGAGAGGGCGGAGCCTGCGGTTTGCTTGGCCTTCTGTGTGAAGGAGAGTGGCCTCCAACACGACCAAGGTTTAAGAGATGCAGCTTAATGTTTAGAACCCAGGTAGAAAGGTGGGAGGCGTGAGAAGCCCCCAACTTTTAAGATACCTGCGTACTGCGATGTGGCTTTTCATAGCCCTGAGATTTTCTTTTCTTTTCTCTCTTCTCTTCTCCTCTTTTCTTTTCTTCTCTTCTCTTTTCTCTTTTCTTTTCTTTTTGAGATGGAGTTTTGCTCTTGTTGCCCAGCCAGGCTGGAGACCAATGGTGCGATCTCTGCTCACTGCAACCTCCGCCTCCTAGGTTCAAGTGATTCTCCTGCCCCAGCCTCCCTAGTAGCTGGGATTACAGGCGCCCACCACCACACCAAGCTAAGTTTTGTATTTTTATAGAGACAGGGTTTCACCATGTTGGCCAGGCTGGTCTCAAACTCCTGACCTTGATCCACTTGCCTCAGCAGTGGGGTTGGGATTACAGGTGTGAACCACTGTGCCAAGTCAGGCCCTGAGATTTCTTGAGGGGTGAGTTCTCCTGATTGAAAAAAGAAAGTGACGGGGCAGGAAAAAAAGAAAAAGAAAAAAGAGAAGGTGAAAGGGTTGGCACTTGTAATTTCAGTCGTTGGAGAGGTCAAGGCAGGAGGATTGGTTGAGGCCTGGAGTTCAAGACCAGGTTGGGCAACATGGCAAGACCCAGTATCAACAAAAAATTTTAAAATTAATCAGACATGGGCTGGACGCAGTGGCTCACGCCTGTAATGCCAACACTTTGGGAGGCCAAGGCAGACAGATCCCCTGAGGTCAGGGGTTCAAGACCAGCCTGGCCAACATGATGAAAACTTATCTCTACTAAAAATACAAAAATGAGCCGGGCGTGGTGTGGGCACCTGTAATCCCAGCTATGCAGGAGGCTGAGGCAGGAGACTTGTTTGAACCTGGAAAGCAGAGGTTGCAGTGAGCAGAGATCTGTCCACTGCCCTCCACCCTGGGCGACAGAGCAAGACTCTGTTTCAAAAAAAAAAAAAAAAAATTATTCGAACATCATGGCGCGAACCTATAGTCCCAGGTACTTGAGACACCGAGGTGGAAGGATTGTTGGAACCTGGAAGGACAAAGTTGCCAGAAGCCATGATCACACCACTGCACTCCAGCTTGAGTCACAGAGTGAGACCCTGTCTCAAAAATAAATAAATGGAAAATGAAACAATGAGGAAATACGAGGGACTGGCTTGGAACATATGGCCTGAGGTCTGCAGGGACAAGGCCAGTTGTGACATGACCCAGAGTATAGAAAGATCTGGTAGAATATGGGGCGGGGTGAAATCTGGAGAGATGGGTTAGTGGGGGAGTGGTTCTAAGAGGCGGGGCCTGCATCCGAGCGAGGAGCATAAACTGAACTCAGTCCTGAAGAGCCGGAATCCCGCTGAAACGTAGCCACAAAGCCATCTCTCCACATGCTATCTCCAGGTTTGCCAACTGCGAAGATGATATCACCTGCGGCCCAACTTGGCTCCCACTCTCAGAAAAAAGGGGCTGTGAGCCCAGCTGCCTTACCTATGGACAGGTGAGAGTGGGGCAGGGGGTGAAGGGAAGAGACTGAGAGCCTCCTCACCAAGTTCTTTCTTACCGTGTCTAGACCCCAGAGATCAGATTGGCACTCCCCAGGTCCCTGCTTACACCCTTCCCTAGGCCAGCCTCCGTCCTGGGTTGTGCCTGTTGACTCCAAAAGCTCTGAGAGTCCAGATTTGCCCTTCCCAAGAAACCGTCCCTGCTCTGGGCCCATCCACTGTTCATCCTGGAGTACCCAGAAGCCCAGTCACCCTCTATAAAACCCCAGCCTTGATAGAGACCTCTCTGCGCGCCCCCACTGCCCTCAACCCTGATTCAGCCCCCTAGGGCCCAGTAAGAACCTTCACCCCCGCGCCAGGGACCTGCCCCGACTCTGGTCCCGCACACAGACTCCCAGGCCACACGCTTCCGCTCTGATCCCAATCCCAAAGGAATTGACAGGCCACGCCCCTGGGAGGAAGACCTGCCCCCCCCCGGTCTCTGGACTCCGCCCACTAAGACCCTAAAACCATCCTTTTTCCTAGACCTTCGCAGATGGGACGGACCTTTGTCGCTCGGCGCTGGGCCACGCCCTACCGGTGGCTGCTCCTGGCGCCCGTCACTGCTTCAACATCTCCATCTCCGCGCTACCACATTCCAAACCAGGACGGCGGGCCCGGGAAGCTCCCTCCCGGCGCTCCCGCCGCCCTCGCAACTCCATCCTGGACGCTGCAGGCAGCGGGAGTGGCAGTGGAAGCGGCAGTGGTCCCTAGCGGACGCGTGGCTGTGAGTGGGGGGCGCGTCCCTTCCCCCAGCCTTGCCCCTCAGACACCCAGAACTCACCCCTCTCCCTCTGGGCGTTCTGATAGTTTCCAGATTTGTGTCCCTTCTCCCTGGAGTTCCAGAGACTCACCTCTCTCCAGCTTATCCCAGAAGTGACCCAACTCTCTCTCACTTTTCCCTCTCCCTCTTGAATAAAGTCTCCAGCTAGAGCATGTGATGTGGCTGCTTCTTGGGGAAGTAAGTGGGAAGGAGAATTGTCAGAAAGTAATAAGTGTCTCAGGTCTAATTCTCAGATTCTAGAATTAGTAACTGATTCATCCTAGAGTGTAAATGATGGATAGCTTGTGCCCTAGAGCAGTCAACACAACTCAGAACACCCAGGTGCTGGAAATGGAGAGGGGGTCAGAAAAGGGGCTGACAAGGGCAGAAGTTCCTTCCCACTGTGTGCCACCAAGGATGTCAAGAAGCTGCCTAACTTGTATAGCCCTCAGGACAAACTTCAAGGCCAGGTGCAGCGGCTCATGCCTGTAATCCCAGCAATTTGAGAGGTCGAGGTGGGTGAATTGCTTGAGCCCAGGAGTTCAAGACTGGGCTTGGCAATACGGTGAGAACCTGCCTCTTAAAAAAGACAGAAAGAAGGAAGGAAGGGAGGGAGGGGGAAGGGGAAGGGGAAGGGGGAAGGATGAAGGGGGGAAGGAGAAGGGGGGAGGAGATGGGGTGAGGGAGGGAAAAATTTTAAATTAGCCCAGTGTAGTGGTGAGTGCCTGTACTCCTAGCTGCTCAGGAGGCTGAGGTAGGAGGATCACTTGAGCTCAGAAGTTCAGGGCTGCAGTGAGCCACGATCACACCACTATATTCCAGCCTGGTGACACAGTGAGATCGTGTCTCAAAAAAATAATAAGACACGCAGACACTGAATACCAAGCTGGGCATGGTGGTATGTGCTGTACTCTCAACTACTTGGGAGGCTAAGAGGATCACTTGAACCCAGAAATTTGAGTCTGCAGTAAGCTATGGTCCTGCACTCCAGCCTGGGCAAAGGCCAGACCCCAACTTTTATTTTATTTTTTTTTGAGACTGAGTTTCACTCTTGTCGCCCAGACTGGAGTCCAATGGCGGGATCTCAGCTCACTGCAACCTCCTCCTGCCTCAGCCTCTCTAGTAGCTGAGATTATAGGCACCTGCCACCACACCCGGCTAATTTTTTGTATTTTTAAATAGAGACAGGGTTTCACCATATTGGTCAGGCTGGTCTCAAACTCCTGACTTCAGATGATCCACCCACCTCAGCCTCCCTAAGTGCTAAGATTACATGGGTGAGCCACTGTGCCTGGCTTTTTTTTTTTTTCCAGACACAGTCTGGCTTTGTCTCCCAGGCTGAAGTGCAGTGGTGCAACCTTGGCTCACTGCAAACTCTACTTCCTGGGTGATTTTCGTGCCTCAGCCTCCAGAGTAGCCCAGGCTGGAGTGCAGGATCATAGCTTACTGCAGACTCAAATTTCTGGGTTCAAGTGATCCTCTTAGCCTCCCAAGTAGTTGAGAGTACAGAGTAGCTGGAATTGCAGGTGCAGACCACCATACCTGGCTAATTTTTGTATTTTTAGTAGAGCTTGTCCAAGACCTCATAACATATTATACACATACAGATTACAGAGTTTGATGGGAATGACCAGGAGTGGTGGTGTGTGCCTGTAATCCCAGCTACTTGGGAGGCTGAGGCAGAAGAATCACTTGAACCTGGGAGGCAGAGGTTGCAGTGAGTCGAGATCCTGCCATTGTACTCCAGCAAGAATGGGTGACAGATTGAGACACTTTCAGTTCTGGGCTTTGACTCAGTTCAGCTGGGCAGTTCTTCCTGAAGCTCTGTCATGTACTTGGAGATAGTGGCTGGGGCTGGAATCATGTAGTCTTCCTTGCTCATATATCAAGGTGTTGGCTGTTGCCTTGAACTTCTGCTCGGGCTGTTAGCCAGAATATCTGCACACAGCCTCTCTGTGGCTTGGGCTTCCTCTCAACATGGCAGCTAAGTTCTAAGGGAAATGTCCCATGAGAGCAAGCCAGGTGGAAGTTGTTTCACTTTTTTTTTTTTTGAGATAAGAGTTTCACTGTTGTTACCCAGACTGGAGTGCAATGGTGCGATCCTGGCTCACCACAACCTCCGCCTCCTGGGTTCAAGCAATTCTCCTGCCTCAGCCTCCCAAGTAGCTGGGACTACAGGCACGCACCACCGTGCCCAGCTAATTTTTGTATTTTTAGTAGAGACGGAGTTTCACCTTGTTGACCAGGATGGTCTCGATCTCTTGACCTCGTGATCCACCCACCTCGGCCTCCCAAAGTGCTGGGATTACAGGCTTGAGCCACCACGCCGGGCAGAAGTTGTTTCACTTTTGATGACTTAACCCTTGAACTCACAGTGTCACATCTTTCACTTTCTATTCACTACAGTGAGTCACTGAAGCCAGCTCATATTCAAGGAGAGGCATCACAGACTCCACCTCCAATAGGAGGGATATCAAATAAAATGCTTAGAAAGTGTGGCACGTAATTATCAAAGAATGTAGACACCATCTATTATGATTGCTTCTTGTAGCTGTTAGGTAGTTATTGATGTTATAGACTGTGTAATTGTGACGAGGAGGAGCAAGCATTCAAGGAAGAAAAGTAAAGCAAGTCTTTGAAGGATCTCCAGTCAGATAATCAAGCCATGGAGGACATTCCAAGTCAAAGGCCTGGAGACGACATGTTCTGGAAACTCAGCTTCTCAGGAGGCCTGGGATACAGTATGGGAGATGAGGTCTGGTCCTGGAAGACACTGGATGCCAGGCAAAGGCACTTGAACCTAAGGATAGAGTGTGATGTACCAGGCATGGTGGCTCACACCTGTAATTCTAGCACTTTGGAAGGCCAAGGCAAGTGCATTGAGATCAGGAGTTTGACATCAGCCTGGGCAACATGGTGAAACCCCATCTCTACTAAAAATAAAAAAATAGCCAGGCGTGGTGGTGCACACTTGTAGTCCCAGCTACTTGAGAGGCTGAGGTGGGAGGATTGCTTCAGCCTGGGAGGTGGAGGCACCACTGCCCTCCAGCTGGGGCAACGGGGACCATGTCTCAGAAAAAAAAAAAAAAAAAAGTGTGTGTGATGCAAAGTTTGGCAGTCTCCGTTACTTGAGGAGCTGAGGTGACTGTATTGCTTGAGGCCAGGAGTTCGGAAATAGCATGGGCACCATGGCCAGACCTCATCTCCAAAATAAAGTTGCATGGAGTGAAGAAATGCTATGTTATGGGTTGAATGGGTCTCCTCCCATTCACATGTTCAGGTCCTAACTCCTAGTACCTCAAAATGTGACTGTATTTGGAGACAGCATGTTGAAAGAGATACCTAAGGTAAAACGAGGTCATATCTGTGAGCTCTAATCCAATGATTATAAAAAATTAGGACACATGGCTGGGCACCGAGGCTCATGCCTGTAATCCCAACACTTTGGGAGGCTGCAGCGGGAGGATCCTTTGGACCCTGAAGTTTCAGAGCAAACTGTGCAACACAGCAAGACCCCCATCTCTATTAAAACAAATTTCTTTTTGAGATAGAGTCTCTTGCTCTGTTGCCCAGGCTGGAGTGAAATAACATGATGTCAGCTCATTGCAACTTCCGCCTTCCAGGTTCAAGCGATTCTCCTGCCTAAGCTTCCTGAGTAGCTGGGATTACAGGCGACTACCAAGACACCCGGCTAATTTTTGTGTTTGTAGAACAGACCGGGGTCTCACCATGTTGGCCAGGCTGTTCTCAATCTCCTGATCTCAGGTGATCCGCTTACCTCGGCCTCCCAAAGTGTTGGGGTTACAGGCGTGAGCCACTGCGCCTGGACAAAATTTTTTAAAAAAATTAGCCAGGTATGTTAGAGCACGCCTGTAGTCACAGTTACGCAGAAGTCTGAGGCAAGGAGTCCACTTCAGCCAAGTTCAAGGCTGCAGTGAGCTATGATTATGCCATTGCACTGCAGCCTGCATGAGACAGACCTTGTCTGGAAAAAATAAACCGAAGAAGAAACCAATCCTGCCGACACCTTGATCTGGAACTTCTAGCTTCCAAGACAGAGAATAAATCTCTATTGTGTGAGCCATCCAGTCTCAGGTAGTCTTGTTACAGTACCTCTAAACAACTAAAGAATACTCCACAAATAATACGCTCACATCATCCTGGGTGTCTGTCATCAGTGTTTCTTTTTCATTTTTTCCTAGACAGAGTCTTGCTCTGTCACCCAGGCTGGAATGCAGTGGTGTGATCTTGGCTCACTACAACCTCCACCTCCCAGGTTCAAGCAATTCTACCTCAGCCTCCCAAATATCTGGGATTACAGACATGCGCCACCACGCCTGGCTAATTTTTATATTATTTGTAGAGGTGGCATTTCGCTGTTAGCCAAGCTGGTCTCGAACTCCTGACCTTGATATCTGCCTGCCTTGGCCCCCAAAACCTCTGGGATAACAGGCGTGAGCCACCGTGCCCAGCCACAGCATTTCTCTAAAAGTGTTGACACCGAGCACGATGACTCACACCTGTAATCCCAGCACTTTGTGAGGCTGAGGCGGATGGGTCACCTGAGGTCAGGAGTTCAAGACTAACCTGGCCAACATGGTGAAACCCCATCTCTACTAAAAATACAAAAATTAGCCAGGTGTGTGAGCGCAAGCCTGTAATCTCGGCTACTTGGGAAACTAAGGCAGGAGAATCACTTGGTGCCAGCACCTGTAATCTCAGCCACTTGGGAAACTGAGGCAGGAGAATTGCTTGGTGGCCAGTACCTGTAATCTCAGCTACTTGGGAGGCTGAGGCAAGAGAATTGCTTGAACCCAGGAGGTAGAGGTTGTAATGAGCTGAGATCTTGCCACTGCACTCCAGCCTGGGTACGAGAGCAAGACTTTGTCTCAAAAATAAACAAATAAATAAAAATGAGGAAAAATAAATGTTTTTCAAAAAATGTTGGCTGAGCATGGTGGCTCACTCTTGTAACGGCAGTGCTTTGGGAGGCCGAGGCAAGAGAACTGCCTGAGCCAGGAGTTTGAGACCAGTCTAGGCAACACAGAGAGAACCTGTCTCTACCAATAATATTTAAAACATTAGTTGAGCAAGGTGTCATGTGTCTCTAGCCTCAGCTATTAGGGGGTATGAAATGGGAAGATGGCTTGGGCCCAGGGGGTGGACGCTGCAGTAAGACATGATGGCACCACTGCACTCCAGCCAGGGCGACAGAGCAAGTCCCTGTCTGAAAAAAAAAAATTAATACATAAAATTTAAAAAGTGTTCAGTTAAGAGTCATCCCTTCCTTCCATTCTATTAAAACTCTCCCGGGGCTGGGCATGTGGATCACAGCTGTAATCCCAGCACTTTTGGAGGCCGAGGTGCGCAGAACACCTGAGCTCAGGAGTTCGAAACCATCCTGGGCAACATAGTGAAAGCCATTTTTACTAAAATACCAAAAACTTAGCTCTCTGGTCTCAGCCAAAGAAGCAAGATGACGAAGGGAACCTCGTTTGGAAAGCACTGCAGTAAGACACACACGCTGTGCTGCCACTGTGGCTCTAAGGCCTGCCACCTTCAGAAGTCGACCTGTGACAAAAATGGCTGCCCCACCAAGCGCAAGAGAAAGTATAACTGGGGTGCCAAGGCTGAAAAACGAAGTACCACCAGGACTGGTCGAATGAGGCACCTAAAAATTGTATGCCGCAGATTCAGGCATGGATTCCGTGAAGGAACAACACCTAAGCCCAAGAGGGCAGCTGTTGCAGCATCCAGTTCATCTTAAGAATTTCAACGATTGGCCAGGCGCTGTGGCTCAAGCCTGTAATCTCAGCACTTTGGGAGGCCAAGGCGGGTGGATCACAAGGTCAAGAGATCGAGACCATCCTGGTCAACATGGTGAAACCCCGTCTCTACTAAAAATACAAAAAATTAGCTGGGCGCGGTAGCGCGTACCTATAATCCCAGCTACTCAGGAGGCCGAGGCAGGAGAATTGCCTGAGCCCAGGAGGTAGAGGTTGCGGTGAGCCGAGATCGCGCCATTGCACTCCGGCCTGGGTGAAGAGGGAAACTCCATCTCAAAAAAAAAAAAAAAAAACTCAGCCAGGCATGGAGGCACGCACCTGTAATTCTAGCTACTTGGGAGCCTGGGGCAGGAGAATCGCTGGAGCCTGGGAGGTGGAGGTTTTAGAGCACTAAGATCAGCCACTGCACTCCAGCTTGGGTGACAGAGTGAGACTCTGGTTCAAAAAAATCAAAAACTGAAACAAAAAAACTCTGGGCCAGGTGTGGTGGCTCATGCCTGTAATCCCAGTACTTTGGGAGGCCAAGGCAGGAGGATAACCTGAGGTCAGGAGGTCAAGACCAGTCTAGCCAACATGCTAAAACCGCATGTCTACCAGAAGTACAAAAATCAGCTGGGTGTGGTGGTGGTGCCAGTAATCCCAGCTACGTGAGAGGCTAAAGCAGGAGAATGACTTGAACCCAGGAGGCAGAGGTTACGGTGAGCAGAGACCACGCCATTGCACTCCAGCCTGCGCAACAGAGCCAGACTCCGTCTCAAAAAAAAAAAAACCTGTGGGCATGGTAGCTCATACCTGTAATCCCGGCACTTTGGGAGGCTGAGATGGCAGGACTGCTTGGGCCTGGGAGGTGGATGTTGCACTGCAGCCTGGGCGACAGAACAAGACTGTCTCAAAAAAAATGATAAACTACAAGAAGCTCAGCAGGGTGACTTGCACTTGTCATCTCAGTACTTTGAGAGGCTGAAGTAGAAGGATTCCTTGGTATCAGGCATTTGGGACCACCCTGGGCAAGAGACTGTATCTCTATTAAATATAAACAAATGACTAAACTGCAGGTCAAGCAACAACATAGGAAAGGGTCACACAGCCTCTCAGACGTCGTCTCTAGAATCCATTTGGTGAAGCCATAACGCGTACTGTCTAGGGTATACTTGCTTCCATTTGTAGACCAAGAAAAAAAACAAAATAGCCAGGCACTTATTGGTGGCTCACACCTATAAATCCTAGCACTTTGGGAGACTGAGGCAGAATCGCTTGAGCCCAGGAGTTTTCGTTTTGTTTTTTGGGTTTTGAGACGAGTCTTGCTCTGTCGACAGGCTGGAGAGTAGCACACCTTGGCTCACAGCAACCTCCTCCTCCCAGGTTCAAACAATTCTCCTGCCTCAGCCTCCTAAGTAGTCGGGACTAGATGCGTGTACCACCATGCCCAGCTAATTTTTGTATTTTTAGTAGAGACGGGGTTTCATCATGTTGGCCAGGATGGTGTCAATCTCTTGACCTCATGATCTGCCTGCCTTGGCCTCCCAAAGTGCTGGGATTACAGGCGTGAGCCACTGAAGGTGGCCAAGCCCAGGTGTTTGAGACTAGCTTGGGCAACATAGGGAGACCCTGTCTCTAAAAAAAGTCTGTTTTTTATTTTTTGATACAGAGTTTCGCTCTTGTTACCCAAGCTGGAGTACAGTGGCACAATTTCGGCTTACCCAGGCTGGAGTACAGTGGCACAATTTCGGCTTACCCAAGCTGGAGTACAGTGGCACAATTTCGGCTTACCCAGGCTGGAGTACAGTGGCACGATTTCGGCTTGCCCAGGCTGGAGTGGCACGATTTCGGCTTGCCCAGGCTGGAGTACAGTGGCACGATTTTGGCTTGCCCAGGCTGGAGTACAGTGACACGATTTTGGCTCACTGCAACCTGTCTCCCAGATTCAAGCCATTCTCCTACCTCAGCCTCCAGAATAAGTGGGATTACAGGCATGTGCCACCACGCCCGGCTAATTTTGTATTTTTAGTAGAGATGGGGTTTCTCCATGTTGGTCAGGCTGGTCTCGAGCTCCCCACCTCAGGTTATACACCTGCCTCGGCCTCCCAAAGTGCTAGGATTACACAGGCATGTGCCACCACGCCTAGCTAATTTTGTATTTTTAGTGGAGATGGGGTTTCTCCATGTTGGTCAGGCTGGTCTCGAGCTCCCAGCGTCAGGTTATACGCCTGCCTCAGCCTCCCAAAGCGCTAGGATTACAGGCGTGAGCCACGGCACCCAGCCAGATTTCTATTTCTCATAGAGATAGGGTCTATGTTGTCCAGGCTGGTCAAGATCCTCCTGACTCAGCCTTCCAAAGCACTGAGATTACAGGTATGAGTCCCTGCGCCCAGTCACATCATGTATTTTAAATATTAGATTAAATCAGCCAGGTGTGGTGGCTCACATATTGAGAGGCCGACGTGGGCAGATCACTTGAGTGCAGGACTTCAAGACCAGCTTGGGCAACGTGGTGAAACTTCATCTCTACAAAAAATACAAAAATTAGTTGGCCATCTTGGCATGTGCCTGGAATCTCAGCTACTCAAGAGGCTGAGGCGACAGAATTGCTTGAACCCAGGAGGCGGAGGTTGCAGTTAAGCTGAGATCCAACCACTGCACTTCAGACAGGGTGACACAGCAAGACTGTCTCAAAAAAAAAATTTTTTTTTAAGTAAAAATAAAAAAAGGAAGGGCATGGTGGCTCATGCCTGTAATCTCAGCAGTTTGGGAGGTCAAGGTAGGAGAACTGCCTGAGGTCAGGAGTTCGAGACCAGTTTCGCCAACATGGAGAAACCCCGTCTCTACTAAAAATACAAAAAAATGAGCCGGATGTGGTGGTGTGTGCCTACAATCCCACCTACTCGGAAGGCTGAGGCAGAGGAATTGCTTGAACCAGGGAGGTGGAGGTTGCAGTGAGCCAAGATCACATCACTGCACTCCAGCCTGGGTGACAGAGTGAGATTCCATCTCAAAAAAACGAAAACAACAATAAAAAGTAGCTGGTTGTGATAGCACACATTGGTAATCCCAGCTACTTGAAAAACTGAGGCAGGCGAAGCACTTGAACATGAAAAGTGGAGGCTGCAGTGAGCCAAGATTTTGCCACTCTATTGTAGCCTGGAGGACAGAGCAAGACTCCACCTCTCAAAAAAAAAAAAAAAAATAGGCCGGGCACGGTGGCTCAAGCCTGTAATCCCAGCACTTTGGGAGGCAGAGGCAGGTGGATCACGAGGTCAAGAGATCGAGACCATCCTGGTCAACGTGGTGAAACCCCGTCTCTACTAAAAATACAAAAAATTAGCTGGGCATGGTGGCGCGTGCCTGTAATCCCAGCTACTCAGGCGGCTGAGGCAGAAGAATTTCCTGAACCCAGGAGGTGGAGGTTGCGGTGAGCCGAGATCGGGCCACTGCACTCTAGCCTGGGTAACAAGAGTGAAACTCCATGTCAAAATAAATAAATTAATTAAATTAAATAAATGAATAAAATTAAAAATTTAAAAAAAATCAAACCAAATGAAATCAATCAACCAACATTCATTCTAATTAGGTTCCAAAAGGCAGCAGCTGGACCCGGCTGCAGAGCACACTCCCACCTCGCTCTGCCCCAAAAGTAGATCTCCTACATGTGGTTTTCCTTTAACAACTTTAATGTCTGGGTCAGGGAGACAGGTAGAGCGAGGAGAGGCAGCTGCTAGAGGCTGGTTGCTGACTCCAGGCCACGCTCCAGGAAATACTGGTGGGAAGCACGGGGACAGACTCGGGACCCTTCATTGAAGAAGTAGGATGTGATCTTCCCAAGTCCCTCCTGATCCTCGGGTGCTGAGTCCTCCCTGTGGGAGAGAGGTGATGTCAGCGACCATGTCCAGGGAGAACAGCACTCCCAGGCAGGGCTGAACCCTGGCCTCCCTCCTTCCTTCTCTATAACACCCCCAGACGCCCATGGTACCCACCATATAACATCTTTTGCCTCTTTCTCCAGGATGGTCTGGGCCGTGCGCCAGCTGAACCGGACAAACTGGGGGAAGCCGAACACAGGCTCCACGTGCTCCTTCAGCCACACTTTTGTCTTGGGATCTGGGGTAGGGTGGGCAACAGTGACAGTCCAAGTTGCACCATAACACCCAAGCTCCTTGCCACTCTTTTTTTTTTTTTTTTTGCTGAGGCAGAGTCTTACTCTGTCACCCAGGCTGCTCACCACAACCTCCACTTCCCGGGTTCAAGAGATTGTCCTACCTTAGCCTTCTGAGTAGCTGGGATTACAGGCGTGTGCCACCACATCCAGCTAATTTTGTAATTTTAGTAGAGACAGAGTTTTACCATGTTGGTGAGGCTGGTCTCGAACTCCTGACCTCAAGTGATCCACCTGCTGTGGCCTCCCTAAGTACTGGGATTGCAGCCACTGCGCCTGGCCAAAACTATTTTTTTGACACAGGGTCTAACCTTGTCACCCAGGCTGGAGTGCAGTGGCATAATCATAGCTCACTGCAGCCTCGAACTCCTGGGCTCAAGCAACCCACCCACCTTAGCTTCCTGAGTAGCTGTGAGTACAGGTGGGTACCACTATAACCGGCTAATTTTTAAAAAAAATTTTATAGAGATGGGGGTCTCGCTATGTTGCCCAGCCTGGTCTTGGAACTCATGAACTCAAGCGGTTATCCTACCTCAGCTTCCCCAAGTGCTGGGATTACAGGCATGAGCCACCACGCCTGTTCTCCTTCCCCTTAACAAAGGGACAGGTGCCTACCTGGGGTCTCAGTCAGTCACTGGAGCTCCAGAGAGACAGCAAAGTGGGAATCAGAGAAGAGAGCAAGAATCCAATCGCCTGGAATCCAGCTCCATCACACACTGGCTGTGTGGCTGCGAACAGATGCCAGCACTGTCTAGAACTTGGCCTCTTCCACCGTGGATTGGGGTGACGAGAACAATTTAGAAAACCTCCAGCCAGGCACAGCAGTCCACACCTGTAACCCTAGCTATCTGGGAGTCTAAGACAGGAAGGTCACTTGAGCCCAGGAATTCAAGACCAGCCTGGGCAACATAGGGAGACCTCATCTCTTTAAAAAAAAAAAAAAAAAAAGGGTTGGTGGCTTACACCTGTAATCCCAGCACTCTGGGAGACCAAGGTGGGAGGACAGCCTGCCTCCAGAAGTTCAAGACCAGCCTGGGCAATGGGACAAGACCCCACCTCTATAAAAACAAAGAATAAACGAAATAAAATGATAAATGAAAGGAAAAAAAGAAAACCTCAGAAGCGTGTTCAGCCCTGGCCATGTCTACGTTAGTACCATGGTCACTGTCTGCTCACCATTGGGGTAGCCTGAGCCATAATCAGTATCCAGGTCCTGCAGTTTTTCCACGAACTGCCAGTTTTTCACCGCCTGGTCCCGGGCCACCTGTGGGCAGGACAGGCACCTGGAATCTCCCTCCTCCCCCGTGGTGGCCATGCCTGATCACAGAAACAGGGTCTCCATATGTTGGGGAGACACGGGGATGGTGGAAGCTGGCAGTGGCTAGTAGGGTACTGACCTTGGCACAGATGCTGGCAGCACTGACCACAGGGTAGAGGGCATCTGCTTTGGCCTTGACTGTCACCTCAATCCCGGGAAAACTTTGCTGCAGCCGCTTCTGGTATGTCTCTGGCATGCCTACGGTGTCCACAAATACCTGCCATGGCAACAGAAACATATTAATTGAACACAACATCTGAAAAAAAAACAACCGTACCAGTGCTCTAGCCGAAAAGCCCTGGCACGTACTTTCTGCCGCCCAGAATTCTCTTCTCACAGCTCACCCCCAGGCTGGACCTATCAAGGATTTCAACTAAACATCTCCTTCCAGGCCAAGCAAAGTGGTTCACACCTGTGGTCCCATCACTTTGGGATGCTGAGGCAAGAGAATCACTTGAGCCTGGAAGTTTGAGATCAGATTGGGTAACACAGTGAGACCCCATCTTTACAAAAACATAAAATAAATACAATAAAATAAAACAAAGAAAAAAAACCCTAGCACTTTGGGAGGCGGAGGCAGGAGGATCACCTGAGGTCAGGAGTTCGAGACCAACCTGACCAACATGAAGGAACCCTGTCTCTACTAAAAATACAAAATTAGCCGGGCGTGGTGGTGAATGCCTGTAATCCCACCTACTCAGGAGGCTGCGGCACTGCCACTGCACTCCAGCCTGGGCAACAAAAGCAAAACTCCATCTCAAAAAAAGATAAAAAGGCTGGGCGCAGTGGCTCACACCTGTAATCCCAACACTTTGGGAGGCTGAGGTGGGTGGATCACGAGGTCAGACGTTCAAGACCAGCCTGGCCAACACAGTGCCTTGGACGCAATCATGGGGATTTGGAAAACAGTTGCTGGGTCAGCTTCTGGGTGAGGACCATAGAGTAGTCGCTAGTGTGGGTGAAGTCATCCAGTTGTCAGAAATGCAAAAGCCTGAAAAGGCACCTCAAAAGGCCAATCTATAGGGCCAGGCATCATGGCTGACGCCTGTAATCTCAGCACTTTGGGAGGCCAAGGCAGGAGGATCACCTGAGGTCAGGAGTTGGAGACCAGCCTGACCAACATGAAGAAACTCCATCTCTACTAAAAATACAAAATTAGCCAGGAGTGGTGGTGCATGCCTGTAATTCCATCTACTCAGGAGGCTAAGGCAGGACAATGGCTTGAACTCAGGAGGTGGAGGTGCAGTGAGCTGAGACAGCACATCGCACTCCAGCCTGGGAAATGACAGCAAAACGAAACTCCATCTCAAAAAAGGAAAAAATAATCACCTCCTAAAGAGCTTTCTCTGATCACACTGCATCTACTCTACACTTATTTAGCACCTACTGCATGCCAGATGCCATTGTAGGAACTAAGGAGGTGACAGCAAACACACTAGAAAAAAACCGGCAGGGTGTGTTGGCACATGCCCATAATCCCAACACTTTAGGGGCCAAAGCGGGAGGATCGCTTGAAGGCAGGTGTTTGAGACCAACCTGGACAACATATGGAGACCCTGTTTCTATGAAAAATAAAAAATTAGCTAGGCGCAGCAGTGAAGAAAGGCTTGAAGGAGGTGAGGAAGTGAATCCATGCAAAGATCTGGGGAAGAGGGCTCTAGGTGTGAGAACAGACAGTACAAAGTCCCTGAGTGGGGACCAGGTTCATCATGCTGGACCCATGTATGGGGGCTTATGGCTGCAGCAAAGAAGTGAGGATCCTGGAGCTGCTGGGGGAAACTGCTGTCTCCACGGCGATACCGTTTTCAGAAACCATCTTAATTTTTTTTTTTTTTTTTTTTTTTTTACCAGCTGACCACCTTTCTGCTCAGGCTAAACCTGAAACCCCATGGGCAGGGCCCTTGTCTGTCTACCCCAGTTACTGCATGGTCAGCTCTGCATTTGGGTCTGGTCCTCAGGCCCCTCCTTAGCAAGGCCTACTTTGCTCTAATTCCTTTCTTTCTTTTTTGTAGAGATGGGGTCTTGCTATGTTGCCCAGGCTGGTCTGGAACTCCTGGCCTCAACGGATTTGCTCACCTCAGCTCTTCCCAAAGTGCTGGGATTAAAGGTGTGAGCCACCACACTCAGCATACAGTTCCTACCTTGAGGTTATTTTGCCTTATTATTCTCTCAAAACCGGTCTGTTCTTTCCCTGAGAGCACTCAAGGCAATGCTGATTTATGCTTTTCTCTGATAATTTAATGTAATTTTCCCCAACTGTGAATTTTCCTGATTTAATTTCCACTGAGATAGGAGAATTAAATGTCGAGATGTGCATTTCAAAAAGACTCCCTTCTGTTGCTGTACCGGGAACAGACTAGAGGGGATAGGAGGGTGGCGGATGAGAGATGAAGCTCAGCAGGTGTCCAGGGAGTGGGGGGTGTCCTGGGCTAGGACAGAGAGAGTTGGCAGGTAGGCACATGTGGAGACTGAGCCTTTAGGATGAGGGAGAGATTAAATGGAGATGGGACTAGGGGCTACACTGTGGTCCTGAGTGAGCCACACATTTAGGCCAGGAACAGCAGCATGAAATCAACAGCAGCAATGAACATGCCTGAGGCACTCCAGATATATCTGATGCCCAATCTGCCTATTGCAGGGTTTTGCCCCATTTTTATTTTATTTTTTTATTTTTATCTAAGGGCAGGCAACTTCTTCTTTTTTTTTAGATGGGGTTTCATTAGGACCGGGTGCGGTGGCTCACGCCTGTAATCCCAGCACTTTGGGAGGCCGAGGCGGGTGGATCATGAGGTCAAGAGATCGAGACCATCCTGGTCAACATAGTGAAACCCCGTCTCTACTAAAAATACAAAAAATTAGCTGGGCATGGTGGCGCGTGCCTGTAATCCCAGCTACTCGGGAGGCTGAGGCAGGAGAATTGCCTAAACCCAGGAAGCGGAGGTTGCGATGAGCCGAGATCACGCCATTGCACTCCAGCCTGGGTAACGAGCAAAACTCCGTCTCAAAAGGAAAAAAAAAAAGATGGGGTTTCACCATGATGGCCAGGCTGGTCTTGAACTCCTGACCTCAGGTGATCCACCCACCTCGGCCTCCCAAAGTTCGAGGATTACAGTCGTGAACCACTGCGCCGGGCTTTTTTTTTATTTTTTAAATTTTTATTTTGCGCTCTGTTGACCAGGCTGGAGTGCAATGGCTCGCTCGATCTCAGCTCAGTGCAACCTCCAATTCCCAGGTTCAAGTGATTCTCCCACCTCAGACTCCCCAGCATGTGGGATTACAGGCACCCACCACCATTCCGAGCTAATTTTTTGTATTTTTTTTATAAATGGAGTTTCACCATGTTGGTCAGGCTGGTCTCGAACTCCTGACCTCAGGTGATCCACCCACCTCAGCCTCCCAAAGTGCTGCGATTATAGGCATGAGCCCCTACACCCGGCCTCCATTTTTACTTTTGAGTTGGGGGTCTTCCTCTGTCACCCAGGATGGAGTGCTGTGGCATGATCATGGCCCACTGCAGCCCTGAACTCCTGTTCTGTCCCCATTTTATCCTGAAGTGACCAAATGGAGACAACTCAACAGTTAGCTCACCTGAGTGACGTTCACGCCCTGGTCCAATGCATACTGTATAAGCCCAGTGGCTGTATCATGGGACAGGGAGTTCAGGTTGTATTTGACCCTGTGGTGGGGGACAGAGCCCAGTTAACCTCATTCTAGGAACAAAGCCCAGCCAGCCCATGCTGGCTGCCCCTCTCCCACAGCCCCTCCCGGGGACCCCTCTCCCACAGCCCCTCCCGGGGACCCCTCACCGCCCAAGCATGCTGGTAGAGATGAGGTTTGGAGACAGCACGTCCAGCGCCCAGCCCACAAAGTTCCCGTCCTCCTGCATTTTCCCTAAAAGCCTTTCCCGCTCACTCTCCGATAGGGTCTTTGAGTCTGGGAAAGAAAAGGGGAACAAATGTTTCTCCCAGTTCCTGCCCTCCCCTCCAGTTTTCACGTTCCCCCCAGTGGGATTACACATACCCAGTAATCCCTTCCCAGACGCACACCCCGGGCTCACCTGCCACTTTCAGGGCTTCCAGATCTGCCAGGCGGGACAGGGGACAATAACAGATTGCGTAGACCATTGGGCCTGGGAAGGAAGGGTGTCAAATTTTTGGGAACCGGGGTCCAATCACTGAGCCCGTGAACGTTGCCACCCATCCCTGTTCTATCATCACTTCTTCTTTGGGAGCTATGACCACTACCACGTCCCCTCCCCAGGTGCGGTACAATCCCGACTCCCGTTTCCGGCATCCCGCTTACCACGCCCCTCCCCTCCCTGGCCCTAGGGGCGCACCCAGCACCGGGCCCCGGCCCGCCTCATCGACGCCCACAACACAAGGTTCCTTGCCGCACACCGCAGGCACAGGGGAACTCAGGCGACAGCGGCCCGTATTGTCTCTCTCTAGCTCGCTGAGATCCATGCCACCTTGGCCGCCGCCACCAGCTCCAAGAACCAAGTCCACAGGAGCCGATCTCAGCGCGCGTTTTCCGCGGGCCTTGCGGCGGCGTCTGTTTCCGACCAATCCACGCGCAGAACACGCCCCTGACGCTCCTGCCGCCTGGACGCTTACGCAGCCGACGCCGACGTCGCTGCTGCGCGCCCTCCTGGGAATTGTAGTCCTGAAGGGTTATGGCCGAGCGCTTTAAGTGTGGCGAATTCGTTGGACTGGGTCGCTTTGCAAGCTCTGCTTCACGGTCTCTGGGGCCCCGTCTGCATTAGCCAGTGGGAAGAGAGGGAAATAAAAGGGATACTGAGGCGCAGCTTGGAAGACCCAGCCTAATGAGGAACTAGAGGGTCAAGTATCACTCCACTCCCAGGACACGGGTCCCCGCATGACTGGGGATGATCCCTGAATCCCCACCTGGATTCCGCGAGTGCAGTCCCTTTTTCTGTACACATTCTAAGTCCCCTGTACCAGGTAGCCCCGCTTCCACTGGGCTCAGGCTTTAGGATTCGGAGTCCCCAAACTCCCTCCCTTTGTTGCTCCCTCAGGCCCACCCCAACTCCCTTCAACATCTGTCTCCTCTTCGTATCCTCTTATTCAGGCCAAGCCTTCCCCACCCCCAATGGAGATCCCAGACCTCAGTCGACTCCTGCTCAGGGTCTCTGCCCACCATGGAAGCTCACTCCTTCCAACTTAGGATGAATGTCCCCTACCCCTCCTCTCAACCTGTCTCCGTCTCTTTTGTTTTCTGTTTTGTTTTTCTGAGACAGGATCTTCCTCTGTTGCCCAGGCTGGAGTGCTGGGGCGCGATCTTGGTTCAGTGCAACCTCCACCTCGTGGGCTGAAGCGATCCTCCCACCTCAGTCTCCCAGCTTGACTACAGGTGCACACCACACACCACCAGGCCCGACTGTTTTTTGTAGAGACAGGGTCTCAGTATGTTGCTCAGGCTGGCTTCAAACTCCTGGGCTCAAGCGATCCGGCCACCTCCGCCTCCCTAGCTATCCACGGGGCTCACAGCTCCTGACTCAGCTTCCCCCTAACCAAATCAACCTCAAGTCACTCAAGTCTTGGAGCTTCAGTTCTCCCTTCCCCAAACTCGCCTCATACCTGCCCCGCATCGCAAGGTCTCCCTCCCCAACCACCCTGGGTCCCGCGGCTTAGGTTTGCCCTGGCCCTGCCGCCCGTGGGCCCCTCTCTCACCTGGGCTCAGAGCCTCCAGTCGCAGTCGAAGGGTTTGCAGGATGGACAATCCCGTTGCCGGCAGGGCCGTATCTGGATCAGGTTCTCCTGGTTCATGAAAACCGGACCCGGCCTTGTGCTTAGCACCTCGCGGCTGCGCTCCTGCTTGCCCTGGTCGCAGAGACACCGCCAATTTCCCCACGGGCCAAGGATCGAGTCCTCGACTTCTAGAGATAGAAGGTAAAGCTAAAGATCCACGTGGAGGGGGCATACTCCCAATCCCCTCTCCCAGAATGGGAGAAAGATAAAAGATACTAACAAATAAAAGAAGTGCATATCCAGTCGATTCTGCCTCTATGCCAGGCACTCCAACACAGATTATCTGATGTAATTTTTTTTTTTTTTTTTTTTTGAGACAGGGTCTTGCCCTGTCGCCCAGGCTGGAACACAGTGGCCCAGTCATAGCCCACTGCAGCCTCAACCTCCCGGGCTTAAGCTATCCTCCTACCTCAGCCTCCCAAGTTGCTGGGACTACATGCCACCACGCTAGGCTAATTTTTCGTATTTTTGCAGAGATGGAGTTTCACTGTGTTGCCCAGGCTGGTCTGGAACCCCTGGGCTCAAGTGATCCTCTCACCTCAGCCTCCCAAAGTACTGGGATTACAGGTGTGAGCCAGCTACCATGCCCACACTTTATCTTTCCATGAGTCTCAGGTGGGGAAACCAAGACCCAGAGACAGGAAACCAACCTTCCAAGTTCATACATGGGGTAAGTGGTCCAGAGGAACTACAGCCTGACGCTTCCAAGCTGTGCCAGCCTGGCCAGTTGTGAGTGTGCCCTCACATCCTTGGGACAGCCGGGTGCGGTGGCTCATCCCTGTAATCCCAGCACTTCCAGAGGCCGAGGCAGGTGGATCCTGAAATCAGGAGTTCGAGAACAGGCTGGGCAACACAGTGAAATGCTGTCTCTACTAAATACACAAAAAATTATCTGGGTGTAGTCATGGGCGCCTGTAATCCCAGCTACTTGGGAGACTGAGGCAGGAGAATCGTGTGAACCCGGGAGGCAGAGGTTGCAACTGCAGTGAGCCTAGATCTCACCATTGCACTCCCAGCTCAGGCAACAGCAGGAGACTTCGTCTCAAAAAAAAAACAAACCCACAAAAAAACAATCCTTGATGCCTGCCTTCTGAAGCTGACTTCTGTCTTCAGGGGTGTGACCAAGGCCCTACCTAGCAGGCATTATGCCACCTGACCAGCAGGACTGTCAAGTGATAAATGGCATAACCCACTAATGAGGGTAAGTAAAGCACCTACCGCTGTGTTAGCATATACAAAACAATTTATTATGATCAGGTTTTGTTTTCTTTTGTTTTTTTGAGACAGGATCTTGCTCTGTTACCCAGGTTGGAATGCAGGGACGTATTCATGGCTCACTGCAGCCTCAAATTCCTTGGCAAAAATGGTCCTCCTGTATCAGCCTCTTGAGTTGCTGGGACTACAGGTGCATGCCACCATGCTAGGCTAACTTTTTTTTTTTCATTTTTAAGAGACAGGGTCTCTCCATGTTGCCCAGGCTGGTCTTGAACTCCTGGGCTCAAGCAGTCCTCCCACCTTGGCCTCCCAAAATGCTGGGACTACCAGCCTGGGCCATCAAGTTAGGCTAATTTTTTAAAAATATTTTTTTGTAGGAGAGGGGGTGGAACACACATGCGTGCGCACACACACACACACACACACACACATATATTTTGTAGAGATGGAGTTTTGCTGTGTGGGCCAGGCTGGTCTCGTCTTGGAGGCCAAGGGATCCTGTCACCTCAGCCTCCCAATGTGCTAGGACTACAAGCATGAGCTACTGCATCGGCCACTATGATCACTTTAAAGGGCTCTTTACTGAATCTGCCCCTTTTCGTATGAGACAGATCTCATCCCAACTCCAATCTTTTTTTTTTTTTTTTTTTTTTTTTTTGAGACAGAGTTTCTTTCACTCTTGTTACCCAGGCTGGAGTGCAATGGCGTGATCTCAGCTCACCGCAACCTCCACCTCCTGGGTTCAAGCAATCTCCTGCCTCAGCCTCCCGAGTAGCTGGGACTACAGGTGTGCACCACCATGCCCAGCTAATTTTTGTACTTTTAGTAGAGATGGGGTTTCACCTTGTTGACAAGGATGGTCTTGATCTCTTGACCTCGTGATCCACCCGCCTCGGCCTCCCAAAGTGCTGGGATTACAGGCATGAGCCACCGTGCCCAGCCTCAACTCCAATCTTATCCCAACTCACTGCTCAGAAAGGTCTGACACGTCCTACCCTCCCACACCCATGTCTCTGCCACACCTCACTGACCTCTTTCCATTTTTCCTTCAAGCCTTTTCTTTTTATTTTTATTTGTTTGTTTGTTTGTTTGTTTGTTTATTTGAGATGGAGTTTCGCTCTTGTTACCCAGGCTGGAGTGCAATGGCACGATCTCGGTTCACTGCAACCTCCGCCTCCTGGGTTCAGGCAATTCTCCTGCCTCAGCCTCCTGAGTAGCTGGGATTACAGGCACGCGCCACCATGCCCAGCTAATTTTTTGTATTTTGAGTAGAGACGGGGTTTCACCACGTTGACCAGGATGGTCTCGATCTCTTGACCTCGTGATCCACCCGCCTCGGCCTCCCAAAGTGCTGGGATTATAGGCGTGAGCCACCGCACCCGGCTATTTTTATTATTTATTTATTTTTTTGAGACGACGTTTTACTCTTATTGCCCAGGTTAGAATGCATTGGCATGATCTCGGCTGACCATAACCTCCGCCTCCCGGGCTCAGGCAATTCTCCTGCCTCAGCCTCTGGAGTAGCTGGGATTAAAGTCATGTGTCACCATGCCCGGCTAATTTTGCATTTTTAGTAGAGATGGGGCTTCTACTAAAAAAAAAAAAAAAAAAAAAGTGCCTGTTGGTCAGGCTGGTCTCGAACTCCCGACCTCAGGTGATCCTCCCGCCTCGGCCTCCCAAAGTGCTGGGATTACAGGCATGAGCCACCGCGCCCGGCCCTTCTTCAGGCCATTTCACCTTGGCACTTGCTATTTCCTCTTCCTTGGACACTCTTTCCCCCAAATCTTTCCATTTGGGGCTTTTGCTTGTCGGTCTCGCTGCACTGGTCACCTGTCTTCTGAAACCGGGCCCTCTCTGACTTCCCAAGCTTGCCTGCCCCATTCTTTCTCTGTCTCTGCACTTCCTGGCACCTATCCCAGGGTTTCATGGATGTGTGGCTTCAGTATCCTGCCCACGCCCCCTCTTCCCCTGTGAGCTGCTTTAAAGCAGTATCTATTTCAATGTATCCAAGAGTAAACCGAGCCTCAGAACAAAGTAACCATCCCAAAGGGACGCCTCCAGTGCGGAGCTGGGTGGAGATTTGCAGTCCGCGGAGGAAGGTTCCTTTGCAGCCAGCTGGAGAAGTAGGGCAACGAGGAGCCTTTGGGCGTCGTCATCCCGGCCGCCTGCGGTTACCCTTTAGATGCTGCAGCCTCAGCTGCTCCCAGGTGTCACCTTCGCCCTGCTGGCCGAAGTACTGATAGTCCTGGTAGACCTGCGCAGGAGTCTCCAGCAATAGGAGTAGCAGAAGCGGCAGCAGCAGCGCCGCCGGGGTCCGGGCCATGCCGGATTCCAACGGCCCCCAGCGCGCTCCCAGGCTGAGTAGTGCGCGGAGCCGCATTACCCCCGCGGGCTGGTGCAGTGGTCCCGGCCAAAGGCAACGCGTCTCCCCCCGCCGCCCGCAGGCTCATGGACCGGGCCACACGCTCCCCCGCACCTATGGGATCAGTGGGCCCGACCGCTCCGCTCGTCCGCTCCCTCCCCCGCGCCCTGCACGTCTTGGTTCGGGCCGGGCATAAAAGGCTTCGCGGCCCAGGGCTCACTTGGCGCTGAGAACGCGGGTCCACGCGTGCGGTCATCCGTGCGGCTAGCCTTTGCCCACGCAGGTATGAACACCCAGAGTGCACCTGGAGGGGAGCCCCCTTCAAGCCACTTTGGCCTAATCCTGACCTCAGTGCTGGCCGCCTTTGTTTTCCATCCGCGGTAGTGGCCTCCTTTGTCCTTGCGAGGGAAACCGAGGCCACGGCCTTGCAGCGCAGGCCGGATCGCCCGGCTCCCCACCCCCTGCTCGTGGGGGCCTCACTGCCTCCTTCTGGACTGGGGGCTTGCGACATCAAGCTCCAGCCGACTCGCTATTGGGGTGCCGGTGGCAGTGGCTGGGTCACTCGTGCTCTGGTCGGGAGGGCGGGTCTCCGGCAGCCTCCGGACCGCGTAGACCCAGTACCCGGGAGGGTGAGGGTTAGTGCTATCGCCTCCGCGGTGCTGACTCAGTCACGGGGCCTAGCACGCAGCGCGACCTTGGGGAGGGAGGACAAAGGGTCTTCCCGGGCGCATTGACAGGGCGGGGGTCTCCGCTTTCAGTCATGGCCTCCGGTAACGCGCACATCGGAAAGCCTGCCCCTGACTTCAAGGCCACAGCCGTGGTGGATGGCGCCTTCAAAGAAGTGAAGCTATCGGACTACAAAGGTGAGCGCGACCCGGAGGGGGCCCAGGTAGGGACCGGACTGTGCATGAGAGAGTCTGGGCCCTAACTCCTCTTTGTCCCTCCTCCCTAGGGAAGTACGTGGTCCTCTTTTTCTACCCTCTGGACTTCACTTTTGTGTGCCCCACGGAGATCATAGCGTTCAGCAACCGTGCCGAGGACTTCCGCAAGCTGGGCTGTGAAGTGCTGGGCGTCTCCGTGGACTCTCAGTTCACCCACCTGGCTTGGTATGAGCAAGGGCCAAAGAGAAAGGCTGCAGCTAAGCTCACACCCTCGGGTCCGAGCCCCGTGGCTTCGTGGCCATTGCTCAACCTCTGAAACCTGCATTTCCCCATCTTGAAAATAATGGAAATATTGCCGCCCAAGTCTTTAAGGATGATGAGAGTCATTAGCATTTGGCAACTAGTTCCCTGGCATATAGAGTTGCAGATGCTTTATCTACTTAGTGCCCAGGAGGGAGGCTGTGCTGCCCTATTTCATGAAGAAGGAAACTCCAGTTCCCCTAAGGGAAGGGCTGTTCCCCAGGACAAAGTTAGAGGAGGAGGGGAACTCAACACCGGCTCTCTGCTGGCAGATGCTGCAAGTTACAAGCACATGTGAAGCCACTTAGCTGGAGCTTTGCCTCTCAAGCTTAGTTTTCCCAGCTGTGGGCATACAGTCCTTGCACGAAACCCAGGGTGGGGTGGGTGGGGCTCCCAGTGGCCTACTCTAAAACCCCTTTATCTCTGGCCTCCAGTGCTTATCACACTGGGCCCACAGGGTGAGGACCCTGCTGTGCCAGGCATCCTGAGGCCCCAACTCTGCCTCTCCTCCTCCCAGGATCAACACCCCCCGGAAAGAGGGAGGCTTGGGCCCCCTGAACATCCCCCTGCTTGCTGATGTGACCAGACGCTTGTCTGAGGATTATGGCGTGCTGAAAACAGATGAGGGCATTGCCTACAGGTACTGTCAGATCCTCAGCCTGGCACAGGGAGCCCCCATTCCCATGATGCTGGGACCACTCCTGTGCAATGTATTCTCTGCCCCCAGCCCTGGGGTTGGCAGCCGGTGGTTGGTAGTCCCTTCCTTGTCTCTGGCAGTGGGAGCTCCCAGCTCCTCACTGGGAACTCTGATGTCTTCAGGGGTCTCTTTGTCATCGATGGCAAGGGTGTCCTTCGCCAGATCACTGTTAATGATTTGCCTGTGGGACGCTCCGTGGATGAGGCTCTTCGATTGGTCCAGGCCTTCCAGTACACGGACGAGCATGGGGAAGGTGAGTGGGCACACACATTCACACATGCGTGCACACATGACACATGGGTATGTACTCAGCACCTCCGTCACTCGTGCAAACATTCACTGCCTGTCCTCTTACCTGTGCAGATGGGTGTTAGCGCCCCGCAGAAGATTCAGCTCAGGGCTTTGCCTGCAGGACGTTTCTACTGTGGTAGGAGAGATACCCCTGACATTCCACCAAGGTGAACAAAAGGGTCAGGCATATTGGCATGGTGGCTCATGCCTGCGATCCCAACACTTTAGGAGGCTCTGGTGGGTGAATCATCTGAGGTCAGGAGTTTGAGACCAGCCTGATCAATATGGTGAAACTTAAAATACAAAAAATTTGCTGGGCGTGGTGACGGGTGCCTGTAGTCCCAGCTATTCAGGAGGCTGAGGCAGGAGAATGACTTCAACCTGGGAGGCAGAGGTTGCAGTGAGCCAAGACCATCCCATTGCATTCCAGCCTGGGTGACAGAGCGAGACTCTCTCTAAAAAGAGAGAGAAAGATACCCCAGTACAAGACTGGGGAGCTGAGAGGTAATAGATCTATTAGATTGGGAGGCTGAGGCAGGAGGATCTGTTGAGCCCAAATAATTCGAGACCAGCCTGGGCAATATAGTTGGACCCCATCTCTACAAAAAGTTTTTAAAAGTTAGCCTGGCTTGTGAAGCATGTCTACAGTCCCAGCTGCCCAGGAGGCTGAGGCGGGAGGATCACTTGAGCCTGGGAAGTTAAGGCTGCAGTGAGTTATGAGTGCACCACTGCACTCTAACCTAAGTGACAGAGCAAGATCCTGTCTTAAAAATGTAGAGGTAAGGCAGAGGGGCAAAGATGGTTAAAAGGGGCCAAAAAGATAGCCAGCTGCTGAGTCACATGCCTGTAGTTCAGGGGCTCTGGAGAGGCAGGAGACTGCTTAAACCCAGGAGTTGAAGTCCAGCCTAGGCAACACAGGAATTCCCATCTCTTAAAAAAGGAAAAAAGACCAGGCTTGGTGGCTCATGTCTGTAATCCTAGCACTTTGGAAGGCCTAGGCAGGTGGATCACCTGAGGTCAGGAGTTCAAGACCAGCCTGACCAACATAGAGAAACCTTGTCTCTACTAAAATACAGAATTAGCCGGTGTGGTGGAAGGAGCATGCAATCCGGGCTACTTGGGAAGCTAAGGCAGGAGTATTGCTTGAACCCAGGAAACAGATTGTGGTGAGCCAAGATTGCACTATTGCACTCCAGCATGGGCAAGAAGAAGCAAAACTCCAACCAAAAAAAAATAAGTAAGAAGAAAAAGGAAAAAAAAAAGAAAAAGGACAGGTGGGTGGCAAGAAGAAACTGAAGAATTAGAGCAGGAAAAACACCAACTAGAAAATACTAAACTTGGCCAAGCACAGTGGCTAATACCTGTAATCCCAGCACTTTGGGAGGCCAAAGCGGGTGGATCACCTGAGGTCAGGAGTTTGAGATCAGCCTGACCAATATGGTGAAACCCCATCTCCACTAAAAATACCAAAAAATTAGCAGGTCATGGTGGTGGGCACCTGTAGTCCCAGCTACTGGGGAAGCAGAGGTTGCAGTGCTTCTAGCCGGCACTGCACTCCAGCCTGGGTGACAGAGCGGGGCTCCATCTCAAAAAAAGAAAAGAAAGGCCAGGCACAGTGGCTCACGCCTGTAATCCCAGCACTTTGGGAGGCCGAGGCAGGCGGATCACCTGAGGTCAGAAGTTTGAGACCAGCCTGGCCAACATGGTGAAACCTCATCTCCAAAAAAATAAAAGAAAATACTGGGGCCAGGTGCAGTGGCTCCTGTCTGTAATCCCAGCACTTTGGTAGGCTGAGGTGGGCAAATCATGAGGTCAGGAGATGGAGACCATCCTGGACCACATGGTGAAACCCTGTCTCTACTAAAAATACAAAAATTAGCCAGGCGTGGTGGTGTGCACATGTAATCCCAGCTACTTGGGAGCCTGGGGCACGAGAATCACTTGAACCCAGGAGACAGGTTGCAATGAACCAAGATGATGCCACTACACTCCAGCCTGGGCAACAGAGCAAGACTCTGTCTCAAAACAAAAAGAAAATATTGAACTGGACTTGGAGGGCTTCTCTTAATATGCACGTTCCTGGTCCTGGACCACTTGCTTCCATCCAGCATTTGCTTCTGCAACACAGGCTCTTGCTTTGCTTCACCTTCAGCCTGGGGCTGTAGCCTTCATGTGCATCCTTGTGTCTTCCCACAGTTTGTCCCGCTGGCTGGAAGCCTGGCAGTGACACGATTAAGCCCAACGTGGATGACAGCAAGGAATATTTCTCCAAACACAATTAGGCTGGCCAACGGATAGTGAGCTCGCACCCCTACCTAGGTGCCTGTGCTGGGTGCCCACCTGTGCCCCCACCTGGGTGCCCTGTGCTGACCCAGGAAAGGCCAGACCTGCCCCTCCAGACTCCACAGTCGAACCCTGGAGGGCTAGGCCCAGGCCTTCTCATGCCTCCACCTGGGAGCTGAATAGTGACGCCCTCCCCCGAGCCCACCCAGCCGCACACAGACCTAGAGGTGACCAATAAAGTATTAGGGACAGGTGTGAGTCTGTGTTGGTGTACTCTGACCTCTCCTCCCCTCAACCCCCATCCCTTCTCCAGGCTCCGGCGTGGGAAACTGACTGTAGTTGCGCATCATTGCCACGCGGTGGCAGTATTATCACATACTCAGTGCCGGCTCTCCTCCCTTGCGCGCAAGGCGGTTTCCGAGGGGTAGGGAATGCGGTTTGTCTCTTTCAAATCCCAGGATGCCCTACATCCAGAAATCTGGCCTTGCAAGGCAGCGCCCACATCTTGTCAACAGTCAGCCTGGATTCAAATGCCCATTAAGAGCTGTGATTGGGGCCGGGCGCGG